ATAAATGGCTTCACCGCCGCCTGCTTGTGCGCGCTCCCTGGGAGTGTGCAGCACCACGATCCGGTGCCCGCTGTGTCCTCTGGACACAGTGGAACGCCGATCGTTGTACAGGACCTCTGTGCCAACTGACAACTCATGGGGCCCCCAGACAATAGTGGATCATGGGGTCCTTGTGTCCTCGCCCACACTCAAACCACTCCAAAAAAAGCCTTTGAAAGTTACCAGGGGCATCTCATGGGGCCCCCTACTGACCCAGGGCCCTCGGGCAGAGCCCGAGTGTCCGAATGGTCAGTCCGCCCCTAGTTAAAACTATTAGCACTGATCACTGCATTGGTGTCACTGGGGATGTTAGTGACACCAAGTCAGTTCCCCTCCTAGTGTCAGAATGCCGCGCCGCAGTCCCGCTATAAGACACTGATCGCTGCCATTACTAGTAAAAAAAATTCCAGTATCTATACTGCCATTTGTAGATGCTATAACGTTCACATAAACCAATTCATTTACATGTATTGGGATTTTTTTTTAGCAGACATGTCGCAGAATATTTATTTTGGCCTAAATATATGAAGAAATTTGATTTTTAAAGTTTTTTTACTGGAGATGTTTCAAAGCAAAAAAAAAAAAATCAAAAAATATTGTTTTTTACTCAATATTGTCAGTAATTTTTTATATATAGCACAAAATAATTAAAACGCACAGGTGATCAAATACCACCGACAGAAAGCTCTATTTGTGGGGAAAAAAGGACGTAAATTTCAGTGTTGAAAGTGTTTGCATGACCGTGCAATTGTCAGTTAAAATAACGCAGTGCCATATCGCAAAAAATAGCCTGGTCAGGAAGGGGGGGGGGGGGGGTAAATGCTCTGGATTTCCCAAAATTGTTGATCTTTGTTTATTTATAGCACAAAAATGTAAAACGCACAGGTGATCAAATACCACCGAAAGATAGCTCTATTAATATTCCAGAAATTTCTGCAGAAATCGGAAGATGAAATGAAATCAATGGGGAAATTAAGGGGGTATATATATATACACATATATATATAAAATATATATATAATGGGGAAAAAAGGATGTCAATTCCATTTGGGTGTGGTGTTGCATGACTGCGCAATTGTCAGTTAAAGTAACACGGCGCCGTTTCACATAAAATGGCCTAGTCAGGAGGGGGGGGGGGGGGGGGGGGGGTTAGGAGGTGGGAGGGTAATTCCTCTGCATTTCTCAAAATTGTCGGCCATTTTTTATTTATAGCACAAAAAATGTAAACCGCACAGGTGATCAAATACCACCAAAAGAAAGCTCTATTTGTGGGAAAAAAGGATGTAAATTTCATTTGGGTGCGGCGTTGCATGACTGCGCAATTGTCAGTTAAAGTAACGCAGCGCCGTATTACAAAAAATGTGGTCAGGAGGGGGGGGGGGGGTAAATCCTCAGGAGGGGGCAAGTGGTTAATGAATGAATTCATGACAAAACATATTTTTTCCGTTGTGCACATATCTACATTCTAAATAAAAATTGGGAATGATGCAAACAATTCTTTGCATGCGCTTTAAATTTCCTGTTAGCACATATTGTAACCATTAGATGGCACTACAGCCCAACAGTTTTTCAGGCATTGCAGGCTGACTGATTGCAGATTTTAGCATTTCAATCACACCACATCCTTTGCAGCAGAGTGCTGCTTTTCACCCACAGATAAAAATCATTTCCTCTGCATAAGCCCCCCTCCATTTTTATTAGATTGTACAGTTGAAAAGACAGACGTTTCTACTTAGAGCTGTGTTTAACACTGTTAACACCATACACAATGATTCAATGTCACTCTACGGAGCACGCATTCTTTATTCTGCACTTCGAAGGCTTGAAAACTTGATTTTTTTTTTTTTTTATGCCAACTTGGTCTTTCAGTTTCCAACCATGCTATAAAAGCTCTTCCTGTAGCGCTGTGATTTCAAATTCGCCCTTTCCCTTTAATAACTCTGATTGCTCTTTGTATTTGGGGAGACGGAACATGCCACCTATTAAATAGGCAATTTTCAGGCTTTGTTCACCTTTTGAGAAACAGAACAAAAAACTGGCATGAGTTGGACGCGTAAGTCGTTCGGTTTATAAAATGGTATTTTTTTTTTTTTCTATAATTGTTATTTTTATTAAAAATAATTCTACGCGCAGTTATGGTTTATTTTTTTTTTTTTTTGCTATTTGTTTGTAGGCTTAGAATTTAGAAAACTATTAAAACAAATGCCATGCAAATACATTTGTAAAGAACCAGTGTTGTATGACATCAGGGGAGGAGTGAAGAAATTTCATATTTTCATATTCCCGAAATTTCTGCAGAAATCGGAAGATGAAATGAAATCAATGGGCAAATTAAGGGGGGTATATATATATATGTAAATATATCTAAATATTATATATTATGTATATATAAAAAAAAAATTATATATATATATATATATATTTTTTTTTATTATTATATACATAAATAAAAAAAAAAAATCATAGCTGGTCATCCAGTGTAACTGCATGTACATTTGTGAAGAACTAGTGTTGTACGACATCAGGGGAGGAGTGAAGAAATTTCATATTCTAGACATTTCTGCAGAAATCGGAAGATTAAATGCAATCAATATATATATATAAATTAAGGGGGTATATATATATATATATATAAAAAAATTTTTTTTATATTTATATATATATTTATTAAATAAAAAAAAATCATAGCTGGTCATCCAATGTAACTGCATGTACATTTGTGAAGAACCAGTGTTGTATGACATCAGGGGAGGAGTGAAGAAATTTCATATTCTAGACATTTCTGCAGAAATCGGAAGATGAAATGAAATCAATGGGGAAATTAAGGGGGTGTATATATATACACACACATATATATATAATATATATATAAAAAACAATGTATATATAATATATATGTAAATATATCTAAATATTACATTAATATATATTATGTATATATATAAAAAAGTATATATATATATATATAAATAAATAATTTTTTATTATATACATAAATAAAAAAAAATCATAGCTGGTCATCCAATGTAACTGCATGTACATTTGTTCTGTGCAAATGGGGAAAAATTTAATTGGCTCCTGTCTACATTGGCCCATGTGCGTGCGTGTGTTAGGGAGCTTAGATTGTAAGCTGATGTGAATGTACAATATCCTGTATGTGTGAAGCGCTGTGTAAATTGATGGTGCTGTATACCTGTAATAAATAAATAATGTTCTCAGGCTATATTCTCTCCAATTTAATATGCGAATCTGGAAAATACCACATTATGGCCATTAGATGGCGTTGACAATGATAGGTAATAAGTGTGCTGCTCAGCGCCATCTACTGTAACCATAAAGCTTTCAATGGTTATGTGTAACAGATCAAAAGGGAGGAGATAACAGAGGTTCATTGTTAGGGTTTACATACACTTTAAGGTCTCGCTCATACTAGTGGTTGAGGGGGAGTAAAATCCTGCGTTTTTTACGCTCGATCCCCTTTTAGTTGCAGAAGCAGCAGCAGGGGGTGCACACATGCAATAGCCTTGATGCTGTGCTTCGTGATGCAGCAGGAATTATATGCCCCCTGTAGTGAACTCGGTGTAGAGTTATTCACACTGAGGTCATCACAGAGGACAAGGGGGCACTCTTTATGTCTGGAGGAAAAGAAACGTAATCTCCAAACACGGAAAGGTTTCTTCACAGTAAGAGCTGTGAAAATGTGGAATAGACTCCCTCAAGAGTTGGTTCTGGTCAGCTCAGTGGATTGCTTTAAAAAAGTCCTGGATTCTTTCCTAGATACACAGAATATAACTGGATATAACATTTATAGGTAAAGTTGATCCAGGGAATATCCGATTGCCTCTCGGGGGATCAGGAAGGAATTTTGTCCTGCAGGAGCAAATTGGATCATGCTTTGCTGGGTATTTTGCCTTCCTCTGGATCAACTGTGGGTATAGGATTATAACTTCTTCTTTTTTTTTTTAAATGGTTGAACTGGATGGACTTTTGTCTTTTTTCAGCCAGACTAACTATGTAACTATGTAACTATTCACTACATTCAAGTGAATGGAGCTGCTTTCACGTGGTTGTGATGCGCTAGTGAGGGGTTCAAGGGGGAGTTAAAGCAGTTGGTGAGGAGGTGACACAACGCTTCCTTGCCACCTGTCAAATGCTCTCTGAAGAGCATTCCTAGTGACCAGTGCAAATTTAAATTAGCCCTGCAATGGGCTGTAAATGGCTCCAGGGGGGTTATGAAAGCTCCTTTCAACTAACCTAGATGTGTTTTTGTACCAAAAAAAAATTGCCCGGAGCCATTTGCTCCTTCTGTTGTCAATCACAGCCTGTGAGGAGAGAGCAGGGTGGGGCCAAGCAGTGCTCAGTGTTTCAACAGACAAACTGAGCCTGCTCGGGAGCGAGCCTGCATGAGTGCCCCCATATCAAGAGGCTGGCTATGGGGGCACTCGGCAGAGGGGAGGACCCTGAAATGTCAGCGAGGGACCCAAGAAGAGGAAAATCGGGGCTGCTCTGTGCAAAACCACTACACAGAGCAGGTAAGTATAACATTTTTGTTATTAAAAAAATAAATAATAAAATAGGGTTTACAACCAATAGCTATAGAGCTGTAAAGTGCAAAGATTGGTAAACAATGCTATAAACAGAATTCACTAAACTTGAATTTGTTACTGTGAAAGGATCTAGTCATGAAAGTCCATATGCCATTACTACTAATAACATATTCTTAATTCACTTAGAATATAAAATGTTAGGGCCAATGTCTATAGCATGCCTGGTACTGTACTTCAATGTGTCACTAAACCCACAACAGTACAATCAGTCTGTATATGCAGTAAAGCATGCTTGTTATGCTCACTGTGGAACCTAAGGGGTTAATCCTCTTCATTGTGTAAAATGGCTGTTTGATCCTGTCTTCTCTGATCCTCCCCTTCTTTTGCTGTCCCCAATGATTGTACAGAGCTCTAGGAGTCACTCTGCACATGCTCAGTACAGTAAGTATTGCTATAGAGGTTTTTTCTCTTTGGCAGGGTGCATGTGATCAGCACAGGACCAATCAGCGCTGTCCAGAAAGAGCGTCAGGGGTGATGCAGCCTCATAGGACAGTCAGAGAGAATGAAAACTTCTCCAAGCTTTAACCAGTGCTCAGCAAGACACTGATAGAAGGCACAAGACTGCTATATACTGTTGTTGAGAAAATGTATTTAGGAGTTTATATTTACTTAAATGCTTGCATATAGTGAATGCAGGGTCCTGGGAGACCAGATATAGTGAATGCAGGGTCCTGGGAGACCAGATATAGTGAATGCACGGTCCTGGGAGACCAGATATAGTGAATGCACGGTCCTGGGAGACCAGATATAGTTAATGCAGGGTCCAGGGAGACCGCATATAGTGAATGCAGGGTCCTGGGAGACCAAATATAGTGAATGCAGGGTCCGGGGAGACCAGATATAGTGAATGCAGGGTGCGGGGAGACCAGATACAGTGAATGCAGGGTCTGGGGAGACCAGATATAGTGAATGCAGGGTCCGGGGAGATCAGATATAGTGAATGCAGGGTCCAGGGTGACCAGATATAGTGAATGCAGGTCCAGGGAGACCAGATATAGTGAATGCAGGCTCCTGGGAGACCAGATATAGTGAATGCAAGGTCCAGGGGGAGACCAGATATAGTGAATGCAGGCTCCTGAGAGACCGGATATAGTGAATGCAGGGTCAGGGGGGAGACCGGATATAGTGAATGCAGGGTCCAGGGAGACCGGATATAGTGAATGCAGGGTCCGGGGGGAGATCGGATATAGTGAATGCAGGGTCCGGGGAGACCAGATATAGTGAATGCAGGGTCCAGAGAGACCAGATATAGTGAATGCAGGGTCCTGGGAGACCAGATATAGTGAATGCAGGGTCCTGGGAGACCAGATATAGTGAATGCAGGGTCCTGGGAGACCAGATATAGTGAATGCAGGGTCCTGGGAGACCAGATATAGTGAATGCAGGGTCCGGGGAGACCGGGTATAGTGAATGCAGGGTCCTGGGAGATCAGATATAGTGAATGCAGGGTCCGGGGAGACTGGATATAGTGAATGCAGGGTCCTGGGAGATCAGATATAGTGAATGCAGGGTCCAAAGAGACCAGATATATTGAATGCAGGCTCCTGGGAGACCAGATATAGTGAATGCAGGGTCCTGGGAGACCCAATATAGGCAATGCGGGGTCCTGGGTCTAGTAACACTTTAAATGAGTTGCCAGTAAAACACTGTATATAATTAGCAGCTATCAAATCTAAAGTAGGAAAAATGTGGCAATAACACTTTACTGTATATACACAAGTTATCATCATACATGGTATGCAACAATATGTTTCGACCAAACATAATTAAAGGACTATTCTAAAATATGAAACAAAAATACATTGATATACATTCTGAAAAACAATGCCAGAACCCTCTGGCCAGTGGTAAGTTTTCTTTACAAAGACCGCTGAGACACAAGAACCGCCAAATGTTCCCATATAGCAGTCTTATAGATTTTTGGATGCTCCACTTACAGAAATTTGCACAAAGGCTCAGGAGCACAAGGAAACTGAACACCGCACAGCTTTTGAATGGCATGTGCTAAGATGGAGACTTGTCATTGACCCCATCCTTGGCCAGGGGGAAGTCAAGGCATCAACCATGGCCCCAACATTGACTCCAGCCCAAGGCTAAAACAACATCTTTTCATTTTAATATGGAAGGAGGATTCTTCATAGCAAGGGCTCGACTCTTCATCTCTTCTGACTGTTGGAGCACTCCCCGGCTTACTTGCTGGCTTCCCCTGTGCCTCCACAGTAACTGCACCCTGTGCCAGGACTTCTTGAGCTTCTAGACCCAGAGGGCCCAGTTCCAGTGGAACAGATGGGCACTCCACTGACAGTGTTGCAGCACACATCGCCAAGGATGACAAGCCATTGACATCACAACAGAATACTGGCTTCTACACAGGCACCATGGAAATGGGTCCCTAATGCTCCCATTCAGGATCTCTGAATGGAGTTCAACCCCACTGGTTTTGGGGGAGCACTCACCACTGATGCTAGTGGGGGATCACCAGCGCAGCCATCCTTCTTTCACCACACCAGATGGCATTCCTCTGACTGATGAAGGGGATCGCTGGGATTCCCTTGGGCCACCCCCACTGTATGATCCTCCCTGTACCTCTGCTGTTCACATGGTCCTACTTTTCCTGGGAGTACCTTGAAATGTAAGGCCCAACAGGCCCCACAACATGCTCAAACTGTCATCACATGGGTCAGTTCTCCACACTCTGTTACCAAGATCTCCAATGAACCTGACTTGCAGACCACAAAGGTTCCATGGGAATGATGAAGAGAATCATAGTAAGGTTTCTCCATGCTTGCCTTAACACACGGGAGGCATGATCACACAGCAACGACAGATCGTGACTGACAAGTGCACCTAACATAGACAATTTCCTCCTTGCTGCTCTAGTCCAATCATAGAACCGGACACTTGACACAGGGAACATGTCCTATCCTGTCAACTATGCCAGAAATGAAAGGGGGCGAGGCACAGGTGTGAACGCAACACATGTAAAACAATTGTTTTCTATGTGCACTTACATTGAGCCTGTGTGGACCTGTGCAGATCAATGCACCTGATGTCATAGAACACTTACGGTTAGTTCATACCACTTGTGATACGGTAAATATACATTTCCCACAAGGCATGGGAACATGCTGCCTCCTGCAGATGCACATGGGTGCCATTCATTCTCATTAATTCTCAATGGCACCCCAAGCATCTTGCAAACACAGGTACCTTCATGGCTACCAGTACCATGCAGTTTAGTGTGGGGTGATTTTAAAAGTCACTCCTGCTGTACTTTTTGTGTGCTCCCACATGTTCAGCAGCCCATTGAAGTTAATGGGCTGCTGAAAATGTGCCATACAGGAATACACAAAACCATGCATACTTGGACACACACCTTTTGTGGTGTGAACTGGCTCTTAAAGTGAACTTTTAGCCCCAAAAATAAATGCTTTGCACCCGACTCTAGCCCCCTCCCTCTACCATAATTGTTTTTTTTTTTTTAAATGCTTTTCGACATTTCTGTGCTGCAGGGCTCCTAGGCGAAAATGATCTTGTCTGCACATATCACCCAAACCATCCTCTCCGCTCCTCGCACGACCTCCTGCTCTCTAGCTTCCTTGCTCCTCCTCCCATGCTCGTCTCCAGGACTTCTCCAGAGCTTCCCCCATCCTCTGGAACTCTCTACCCCAATTTATCAGACTATCACCTACTCTGCTCACTTTTAGGTGATCTCTGAAAACTTATCTCTTCAGGGAAGCCTATCCTGCCTTCAGCTAATAATGGAATCTTCTATTCCTCCTATCAGTCCATCCCCCACAGTTATTACCTTTTGTATCACTAGCCCCTCCCTCCTAGATTGTAAGCTCCAAGGAGCAGGGCCCTCCTAACCCTCTTGTATTGAACTGTATTGTTGCTGTATTGTCTCCCGTATATAATGTAAAGTGCTGAGCAAACTGTTGGCGCTATATAAATCCTGTATAATAATAATAATAATATGCGCTAAATTCCATGTAACCTCATAAAACTTAAGGTCTCTGCTCAAGCTCCTACAAGTCCATTGGGGGTTTCCTGCAATGGATGCAGACTGGGCTGGAGTCCAGCTAACTCCTCATACTGTGGATATGCACAGAGAAAGGGCTCAAACACCAGACATGTATAAAATCACTAAAAAACAGGTGAAAGCAGCCTCAGACAGCTTCATCCAAAGCCATGCTGCAATTTACCATGCCCATAGAGCTTAATGATGGAGCTGGCTGAGGCTGCTTTCACCTGTTTACTAATGGCTTTGCTATGTATGCAATGTTTGGGGCCTTTCTCTATGCATGTCCTCAGTTCCATGCATATGCAGATGTGCTAGAGGGTGCTGGCCAGCAAAGAACGTCGGCACATCTGCGCAAGTGTGGAGTTTTTCTTTGCAATGCATACTTGGTGCAAGTGCGGAGATCCCGGATCTTTGTTTTTATGCGCAGGGAAACTCAGTGCATGCTCAAATGTGTCCCAGGGCTCTGCTAGGTTCCAAAGGTTGGGAAGATAATTCTGCTCTGCTGATGAGGGGGTCAGTATTAGGAGGACGGAAGTTCCTCTTTAGACACATTTCACCAAGACAGCTCAATGAGTGAAATTTAGTTTCCAATTTGTCAATATTTTGACACCAACAGAATCCGTAATTTCACATCAAAATCACTTTCATCAAAACCGCTCTGATCATCCCAAGTGTTGATCATTTGCAAGTCTCTTGGTTGAGTGGCTTCTTTGTGGGCTTGGTGCAAAAGCCATTTTTGGCCATTTTTTGGAATGGAACTGGAAAAAAATGTGCAATTCTAGTTTATACACTTGTCCCCAATGACTGGCTAATACTCAGAAAAACACATGGAACTTGAAGGGCAAACAAAAGGAAATTTGTATTTGCTGTGGAGGCAGTTTAATGTACATGACTTCTCTTGTTGTTTACAGCTCGGGATATTATAGTGTAACATCTGGACTGTATCACAACAACCGTATTCAATCTGTATTTATTTCACGAGCGCCATAACATTTACAAGCTTCATCTGCAATCCAATAAAACAGGTCTATTTTTCAATGGAGGTCTGCGGGATCTGAGAGACAAAATAATCAATGAGGCCTTTCGAATTTCTGGTATGTCTAATGACTTTGCTGCAGAGCCTGTAAAGGCAAACAAGTAGCACATCAGCTTATTGGTTAGTGCTGCAGCTTTGCGGCACTGGTGTCTCGGAATCAGTTCTCTCCAGGTGTGTTATATCAGTGGAGTTTTGCTATTCCCTCTGTGGTTGTGTCATTTTCCTCCCTCAATTGAAAACCTACTGGTAGGTGATTTGGTCCAAGTGTGTGTGTGGTTGTGATAAGGACATTAGTCTGTAAGTGGCTCCAAGTTTATGTAGCACCCTCCTAGCGTAGGTGGCTAGGCAAATTTATCTTTTAGATTCCTTTGGAATCAAAGGAGCAGTAATTGTTTAGTTTGGCCTGTTCAGTGTCTCACAGGCTGGAAATAAGATTGCTTCCCCCTGCCTCTGGAAGAAGCTTCCAGAGCATAGGCCGGGAGATTCAAATCACCCAGCCTGAAAATGTATCTGCTTCCGGTCAATCCCTGGAGGGGACGTTTCAAGAAGGGGGCCAGATAAAAAGTCTGAGGCACTGGAGAGCAGGGTTCCTTTTTCCCAGCAGGGTTCCAGAGATGCAGGGGCTGCTGCCCATGGACTGGACAACTACTCCAGAAGACTACAGAGGTTCTAGGATCAAAGGTTCAAATAGACTTTACTGAGAGCTGACTGCAGAACCATACCATGAAAGGGGATCTGGTCCTGAGAGCTGCCGTCTCACTCAATGGGCTGTGTCTGGAGGGAGCTGGAAGAAGGCAGATGTGAATCCAGGAATAAATTATTTGCCTCTCAAGCTTATGCCTAAAAAGATGTGAATCTAGGGAGATGGAGAGGAGGTCCACTGAGGGGAACCTTTCTGTCTCCCCGGCCTGCTGCCTGGGGAGCAACAAAGGAACGCAGCGTCTCTAAGTGAGTACTGTAGTGGCATTTAATAAGAAGATAAGTAGTAACTCACATCTTAGAAATTGAAAACAGGCTCATATAGTGAAGAGGTAAAACGTCTTATGCCAGATGTGTGGGTGACTGTATCAGAAGGAGATAGCTTAGCACCGCCAGCAGATGGTGCTGTATATGTGTAGCATGGGTGGTGAAGCCTGGCATAGTCTCCAAGATGTCACATTTGACGTCTGACGTCATCAATGAGTCTCCAAGATGTCCGAGGTCGGTCACGTTTGACATCTGACGTCATCAATGTGCGAAGAGTTTCTGCCAGAAGTTTGGGTGACTGTACCAGAAGGA